CAAGTAGCGCTGATACAAGGTCGATGTGTTCCTTGTACACAGTTTCAAGACATCCCAAGGCGTCTTTCAGCTCTGAGAGCGTTACACAGGGGTAAAACAGCTTGCGAAGGTGTTTATAAGTGATAACGAGCAGGCCTATAGATTTGTTTAGATAGAGCAAGACGAGCAAAAACAAGCAACGAGTTGGAGAAGAGGAATTAAATACGGATTTGTAAGGGCGGGGTATTCGGTAATCACGTCATCACTGATGACTAATTGGCTCACCAGCACTAAACCCCAACCACGTCCAATAATTCACAACTAATTCCATGCAGGATGCGTTCTCGAGGTTCCAAAGGTGCTTGGTGCGCTTAAAAGGTGGAGGGAGGGAAGAATGGTCGCGTCGGCTAAGACGATCTTCGGATGGGAGGACGGTATTTTGTATACTTTTGCGTGAAAAAACTGATTTGTGGCTCGATATAGTTGAACCATGATGAATTTCCGCACATTCTGGGTCAAAATACGTCTGACTAAACCCTTGAAAGACCCGTTCGGCCAACTCCTCATCGATAATCCTTTCAATTGCGAGTGTTCATCAATCATCGTCATACGCCATACTACTGCCATAGTAAGTATATCTATTATTCTCCCATTCCGTGGTCCACAGCTACCAGATGAACCCTATTCACTAACCATAGATTCCTCCTCCCCGAGCAACTCACAAGTTAGACCCCAGCTCCGTACCATTCACACTGTGATTCTGCGGTTTGGGTAGGTGTGGATACCAATCACCCGTTGCCTGGCTTGTGAAGCAATAGAACCCGCCACTTAACGTCCTCCAATACGTTTCAGTTCAGCCGTCCAACTGTTATGACCATCGCGAGATGTATATGAATCGGAAGGTGAGTTCGAGCCTCACTGGTGCAGCTGGCCAGCGATCTAGGAACTTTCACCCTTTGCGGCGTGAACTGTGCTTAATTTTTTTTTATCTACCAGCTACAATAACGCCCCGCTTCCAAGAAATTGGGTTCGGTCACTCGTGAAGCACGCAGCTCGACAACAGATAAACAGATAAACAATCAGACCATTAGGGACACGCGGTTGTGTATGTAATATGTATAGGTCTCGTGGGTTGACTTGAGTATGTAAGAAAATGAAAGTTGCACACTTTAAGGATTAGAACTCAGTGAGAATCGGAGCGAAGTTTTTGTATGTGTTTGCGGGGAGCTAGCAGACGAGGGAACGAGAAGAAAGCAAGCTTTCACCGAAAGCTCCAAGATGAGTAGGGAGTAACATAGCACATGAAGAGCAGGCAATCGAAAACAGCAAGCAAGAAAGCGAGAAAGCGAGAGAGAGAGAGAGAGAGAGAGAGAGAGAGAGAGGGAACAGTAAGTAAAAGTGATACGAGTGCATATTCATAGAAACTGGAATCACATCGACTGCGCACTTGTATATGGTCCGTATAATTTCCGTTCGAATCATTCAGATGTCATGAATGAACAGCCTTCCCTGTACACACCATCTGATAAGAGCGATCGATTCAACAGCTTGGTAGATGGCTTCATTCGACCCCGCCGTGTGAATACATGCGCGTAGAACGGGCATTAGAGGCAGCTGACGGTCCTCTGGAGCGGTTTGCTAGGAAAATTCCAGTCAATTGACTGAGACTCGTGACCTCAGATGAACGATTGAGGGGAAGTGTATACCTTCAGTAGCAACCGCAAAGGTATGAACACGATTGTCGATAGCAGAGCGAAATGGGCTTTCATAGGCCGAGGAGTGACCGTATGGGATAACCTGAGATGGTTGTTGGATAGCCTGTCGTCGGCACCGTATAGCCTCCCAACGACTTTGTTTGTCCTGCTCGTGGGCTCGCTTCAGACAAAGGCAGAAGAAAGCATCAGTTCAAGCTGGTCAATGTAAGTAGTAAAAACACACAAGGATCTTCCGTTTCACATCTTCAGATTGCTCATACCAGCGTACAATCTCTGGCATCAGTCGAGGATGAAATCCGACATACGTCCATAAAGCAGGTCCGAGGAGGTGTTTCTCGACTATCTTGGATGCTGTGATCTTCAATCTGGATGATCAAGCTTAGTATACCGTGTGCAAGATTGTCGAGATCCGAGACTCACTCGTAGTACTCGTCGTCATGTAGCGCTGATATGAGGTCGTGTTCCTTGTACACAGTTTCAAGACATCCCAAAGCGTCTTTCAGCTCCGAGAGCGTCACACAGGGGTAGAATAGCTTGCGAAGGTGTTTATAGATGATAAGGAGCAGGCCTTCAAAGTTGTCGAGAAAGAGCAAGTCGAGCCAAAAAAACAACGAGTTGGAGCAGAGGAAATAATAGTTTGAATAAGCAGATATTGAGCCATCACGTCATCACTTATGACAAATAGACTCACCAGCACTGAGCCCCAACCACGTCCAATAATTCGCAACTAGGTCCATGTAGGATGCGTTCTTGAGGTTCCAAAAGCGTTTGGCGCGCTTTACGAAGTGGAGGGAGGGAAGAAAGGTCTTCAAAATCAGCTTTGGACCTCCTTTGCGTTTGAGGTCTGTATTTTTGTATACTTCTGTGCGAAAAAGAATTGACGCCTAAGGTTTTAGTGGGCATTCCGGCTCTATATAGTTGAACCACGATGAATTCCCGCACATTCTAGGTCAAAATATTCACTGACGCGCTTACCGAGACAGCCGCACACCTGGGAAGTTTCCCCGTGTGCCAAGAGGGCAAGATGTGTCAAAATAATCAGGGAAATTGAGTTCGACTTTGTTTGGCGTCAGCCTTCAGCTGAACATGCCATTCCGCAGTGCTCGTGTACAAAGACAGTTTGATCGGCCCATTCCCGTAAAGAGAGGGTTGTTCTACTCGCTCGAGACTACTTTTCACTGATTAACGGGCCTTAAAATGCGACTTTAACTACGCCCCTCGCGCGAGCACTCGAAGACTTGGTGACTCGTCAAGTATCAAGTACCCATGTAGTTGAACAAAATCAATTCGAGTCGAATGTTGGGCATGCACGACCTGTCAATGGCAACGACCCGGGTTACCATCCTGCCTCCAAGTACGACTTGTAATAGGGATTTTAGTCAGCCCTTGAATCGATTATCGCAGTAAGCGGTTTTTCTTCTTTTGGTCGTCATACAAACCTCGGGCTAGTACATGCATTAGAGGAGAATCAACCTCCCCGACGGCAGGAAAGAAATCCCCAACCGAGTCGCAAGCCGAAATACCTGGTCTAAGGTCTTACAGATGAACCCTTTTGGAGTTCAGTCTGTCTTTCGCGTTGGGTACACAAATCGGGGTCGAGTGTGTACATGCAACAGTGCGGAGGTATACTCATCTTAGACTGTCACGGTGATACCAGTTGAGGAGAGCGGCGAGCGGCATATGAGTAGTTCATATCCGTCCAGGGATCCGGCTGGCTGTTGAATGTTGAAATCTTATGGTTTCTCGTGAATCAGCAGGCAGCATTCTTGGGGGGATACCGTAGGCGTACTGCGCAGTGAGTGTATCTATTATTCTCCCATTCCATGTCCATAAGCTTCGGCCACCAACCATAGATTCCTCCTTCTCGAGCAACTCACAAGTTAGGTGACCCCCCCAGTCTTTGTACTATTTACACTGCACTTTCGCGGTTTGGGTAGGTCTGGCTCGATACTAAATCTCCCATTGCCTGGCTTGTGAAGCAATAGAACCCGCCGCTTACCGTTCTCCGATACGAGTTGATTACAGCCATTCGATTGTTATGAACCTCACGAGACGTTATAACATATACAATCAGGGACGCTCAGAGTTGGTGACGCCAAGGATTATGGACCCGATTTGGGACGGATTTTAGTGTTGATTTCCAGGTTGATTCAGCTTAATCTCATGCGACCAAAAGAAGGTGGGTTCGAGCCTCACTGGGGCAGCTGGTCAGATCTAGGAAATTTCACCCCGTGAATCGAGCTTATTTTTTTTATATCTACCAGCTACAATAGTACTTGGGCTCAGGTACGGCACGCACCCAAGAACTAGGGTTTGGTGGATCATGAGTCGTGAAGCACGCGGCTTGACAAAAAAAGAAAAGGAAAAAAAGAGATGGACGATCCGGCCATGCATTAAGAGGGAATCGAACCCCCGGCGGGTCGATACTTCGACACAAAGATCATGGCAACGACCCAGGTTACCACTACCCCATTAATGCTTCTTTAGGTACACGCAATTGTGTGGATGTATAGGTATCGTGGGTGACTTGAATATGGATGGAAATGACGTTTGACAGGCTAGGACTCGGTGAGGATCGGAGCGAAACCTTTATACGTGGTTGTGGGGCGTTAGCAGACGAGGGAACGACAAAAAAGATAAGCTTTCACCGAAAACTCTACCTGCCCCAGTGAGGCTCGAACTCACGACCTTCCGATTGTATTTGCAGTATAGATACTGGAGGACCTGGGCTATAACAGTCGGACGCTGTAACCAACTCAGCCATGGGGCATGTATCAGGTCGGGAATCACATGGCAATATAACAGCCCAAACTAAAGAATGGCGTCATCATCTATCGTTGTCATCTGGTTCATTTCCGACTCGCTTCCCTGCACCTGGCCCAGGCTTGTCCACAAACCTCCACCATGACACTCTTGAGTACTAAACATTCCAATTATTCATTCGCGCTAGCCCATTAGCCAAGTCTTACAATTGCTTATCGTGCTCCGCAGCCCCTTTTTGACGCTCGGTATCGTCATCGACAACGGCGGCAAGGGTAACGGTAAACGGGATATGGTCCGATCCGAGAGCTCCGCACTGCATAATGATAATCGTTATGCGGGGCGGCCTTGGACTATTACCATTACCACCACGGCGAGTTCATGAAGACGTCGACAACCTAGAACAAGACGACTTAACACGACCAACCTAGAAACTATGGATAGCGCGACTCAGAATGGTATGTTTTTTATTGCTCAGTGCTCTCGGTCGGTATAAACGGTGTTTGTTTTGGCCCGTTTTCAGATACCCAACCGCAAGAGCAAGCTCAGGGATTGAACCCGACGGTAGACTTTATAGCTGGGACTATCGGCGTACGTTGACACGTTTGGGTCTGTTCATTCTCGTTCGTAGGCTGACTTGGAGTTACTCGTCACTATCTTTATCGCCCACTCTCCAATATCTTATCGCACCGCACCGCAACAACTCGGACGAACGCAAACAGGGCGTAGCAGGCCTCGTAGTAGGATTTCCCTTCGACACCGGTACGTTCCGCTCCGTAATTCCCTCACTATATCATCTAACCTCGCCTTTGTTAGTCAAAGTACGCCTACAAACCGCCTCCACCTCCACCCGCACCTCACAATCAACTCTCCACCTAATGCTCTCCATTGCTCGAGAAGACAAACGACTCGGAATATGGGGTCTATTCCGGGGCATATCCTCCCCCATCGCGACCGCTGCACCCTTGAACGGGCTGGTATTTGCAAGTTATCGGTTTTTGTTGGATGTTCAGAGGCCTTCCGGGGAGATACAAACGCAACAAGAGTGGACGCCGACGTTGGGACAGATCGCGTTGGCAGGGATGGGGTGTGGGGTTATTAGCTCGTATGTTTTCTCGTTTCTCGTTCTTCGGTTGTTTGACATACCTAACCCTGTCTTTCGTTATCGTTATCGTTAGAGTGATAACAACCCCAACCGAACTAATCAAGATCCGTCAACAAATGCCTTCCTCCTCCTCCTTTTTCTCTCCCGCTTCCTCCTCCACCCTACCAACAGCAAGAGAAGTAGCAACCGACATATTCAAACGACACGGTATCCGAGGTCTCTACCGCGGTATCACAGCTACTGCGTTACGCGATTTGGGGTACGGATCGTACTTCTTCGCGTACGAAGCTACGTGTCGGTACCTGCCCCCTCTTTGGGGGTCGTTAGGAGCCGGCGTTTTCGGTGCTGGGGAAAACAGGAGGAGAAGTGAGACGGGTGCACTGGTTCATGAGATGGATCATAGAGAAGGAAGTGAAGGAGCTGGGCTGGGTACGCTGTTGGTTGCTGGGGGTGTTGCTGGGATCGGTGAGTTCCCTCCTTTCTTCGGGGTTGTGTGGAGTTGGAACTTGAGCTAACGGATCTGGTTGTTGGTAGCTGGATGGATATTCACGTTCCCGATGGACGTGGTGAAGACGCGTGTGCAGAGTCACGATGGGGGCTATTATCTCTCTTCAGCCTCGACATCTACGGCTGTTGGGGCACCGGCACCGACGGCCATTTCGTCTTCCGGGTCGTATGGACACGGACATCATCTTCCACATCCGCAACCACAGTATCAGTATCAACACCAGCATTCATACCCTTTCGCCTTCTCCCGAGGTCTTCATCAAAGTCCCTCAACTTCTTCCTTCTCCTCCTCTCCTTCGAGACCTCTAAACCCGTACCGAACTACCCTATCCACCTTCCTCCACTCCTTCCGGACAGAAGGCCACGCGGTGTTTTGGAGAGGGCTGGGAGCTACGTTGTTGAGAGCTGTACCGGTGAATATGGCTACGTTTGGGGTGTTTGAAGGCGTTGTTTGGCTCGTTGGGTGAACGTGGCGTGGTTAGAGACTTTGCACACCTTACGCGCATTCCTAAGACAGAGGGGTTGTTTGGGCTGTTGGGTGCAATGTTTATACACCGCACCGCACACGCGTTGAGGTTATCGTACGCCTTCTACACTTTTCATACCCCGGAGTGGGACCGACGTCTGGCATTTAGCACACTACTTAGGATCGGCATCTAGCATCTTCATGTATCTTTATTTATACATCATTCTCATCGTAGATATCGCATATCTTACCTACGCTTCGCATGCTACATTGTACAACCATGATTATATACCGCACTGAAATGTCGATATATACACACCTCAAGGACCCAAGTATATCCTGCCCCATGGCTGAGTTGGTTACAGCGTCCGACTGTTATCATCAGTTGACTAAAGAAGTAACAATCGGAAGGTCGTGAGTTCGAGCCTCACTGGGGCAGTTCGATGGATAGATAAGCTTCCAATATTTTTTCCGTTGTTGCAGGTATGTGGAGGCTTGGGTAACTCGCCCCCCGTGGACCACCATCCCACCTTCGTACTCCCAGATTGGCTTGATTCAGATGGACACCTCCATCTCACGGGTACCTCCCCCCCCTTTTTTTCTGTGACTACTTCGCTGTTTCCCGAGGGACAAAAACCGAGTCTCGGTAGGGGTTTTGGTTCTCTTTCCAATTGGCAAGTCGTCATGAGGTCTGTTTGTTGGCCGCACTGAGATCAGTCAATAGGTCGAGTCTCACCAAGTTCAACAGGCATCAATGGGGTAGTGGTAACCTGGGTCGTTGCCATGGTCTTTACGCTCACCAGTAATCTTCGACCCGCCGGGGGTTCGATTCCCTGCAATGCCCATTTCTCCTGGCACTACTTTTTTTTGTTTCTTCCACTTCTTTCCCTGTTCATTGGCACGTAATTTCGAATGCTAAACGTCTCGGCTCTCAAGCTTCAAGTAATCGTCGTAGTGGGCGTTATCTTTCAATCAGTCGGCAGGCCTCACTTCATCCGTCCATGCACCCCGCGTCATCGATAACAACCACCCCGCCACGAGGTATATGAGCTCAGAAGCGCTGTCTGACAGGAAAGCTGGGATGGCCGAGTCGTTAAGGCGAGTGATTTGAATTGTTATTCTTGTGACTTTCTTATCACTTGGTGTTTCACCGCGTAGGTTCAAATCCTGCTCCCAGCGATGGTTTTTTGTTGTTTTTCTCTGGTCGGGACTCGAGTGAGAGTTTGGCATCTATCGACTTCACCGATGGCATACTTGTTATCTACTCTGCCGATTGGCATTCCTCATATTCGTCGCCGTACATTCTGGTTGTGACGACTGACCATGCAACTTAACCAATAGACCATGCATGATTGGAAACGAGCCCCACAGTCACTGGAGAGTTGCGAGTTTGGTTGTTTCTGTACTGTAGATGGAGAGGTGCCCTCTGTTCGGCTTTTTTTAGTTCAGGAAGGTCTTGTATGGATGCCTGTTCCCCATTTACGGTGCTTTACAGCGTCCTTTCCTTCATCAGAAACTCACATAGCTACAAAAAGGTCGTGAGTCTGGCAGTTACACGGCAAACCATTGCAAGCTACGTTTTTCTTTCTTCGTGGTATGAGTTCTACGCGGCTTTTGATCTTGCAAGCTGTAGCTGAAGTACCAAATCGTCTAGTTACTGTGCAATGCACGCGTGCACTTGTGAACCTTTGACGTACAGGACTATACACCACGGACTCAGCCCCACTACGGCCCCAACCGATCATCTTGAACTTCTAAACCTAAAAAGCTGCTGGGGCTTTTATCCGCCGCCCTTGGTGAACCGACCCACATTTTTTCCCCAAGTCCCGACAGTGGCGTGAAACCAAACAAAAAGGGTGAGCTTGACACTCCGCCGTGGGGTTAAGGCAACGTACAGTGGTGCTTGATCAGCGAGGAATGCTCACGTTTACAAGTAGTCAGTTTTTTCGGCGGGAGGGAGTCGGGGTGGGGGCAAAGCCGTGAGTCTCGACCTTACTCTCGAGGAGCAAACGAGCTTGTCTAAACGTCGATGATTCGAACCCGATCTAAGAATCGGAACAAAGTTATATCCGATTAGGTGGTATTGTTAGCTTTGTTTATCGGGGGAAGGATGACTTTCGCATTGTACTCAGCTCGTGCCAACAAAACTTTGGGACGGGGATCTACCGTCCAGGAGGTTATGCTTTAGACCTTGGTCATGAACTTTTGTTTGATTTTGGGCCTCGAAACCCAATTCATTCGGGGGTAATCTTGAGGTACTAAGTGGTTTCCAATACGCGGTGACCACCTTGTAGATTCATTCGACGACCACATACCTCATTGGGCACACGGTCCGACGGTGCAGTCACTTTGGTACAAATTTTATCGGCGAGGGGTCGGGGTCGTGGGGGAAATTAAGAGTCTTGACCTTGCTCTCGGGGAGCGAACGAACCTGAGGACCTGACTGTCGACGACTTGGTATCCGAATTGGAACAAAGCCGCGTCCAACCTTGGACGAGCTACTGTTTGTTCACCAGGAAGGCTGACTTTTTGATGTATTCGACTCGGTATCTGCCAGAACAGCATAATAACCTTGGGATTTGGGACGCCCTGAAAGACAAGTGAGATATACCGACTAGGCTATGTTTCGTGATTAACGTTGTGCTTGATACTTACCTACAAACTAGAGAGCTCAACACTGATTTCGGTCGCGGTATCCTTGAGGTACTTATTCTCAGCCCACGGTGCATCTCGTGGGTTCATTCGACTTCCTGTATCGAGTCCTTATATCTCATTGGGTACGATGTCTCGATGCTCGCGGCATATCATCCCATAGGTTACCGGGATCAACAACTAGCCTTTGGAAATTGCGCTATCCTCTCTGTATGACACTACCATTCAACTTACACATTGTTGTGGTGTAGTACGCCGTACCTTATGTTGACATAGTCGCCACGCAATAAGAACTATTTTGGGCTGATATCGGCATCCGACTGTTATTGAGTTTGCGTGCAAGCCCAATGCTTCAAAATTCGTGTGAGGGGACTCTTCATTTTACTTGACAGATGGTTGCATCGCGGAGAGTGACTTGACCGAAGCTGAGAATGGCCTTCAGATGAATACGTCAGCTTTGTCTGCTCGTTGGTTTCTTCGGCTCACGGCACCATTCTGATGGCTCTCACTATGGCGACGCACCCCGAAGTTTATCATTGTTTTACATTCATCAGAGTGGCCTGTCAGATCAGAAACCGAGATGTGCTCCATAAGATGGCTGCTCCTTGATCACCTCGGTCCAGCTGGAGGCGTGGTATGTTCAATGGCCTCATGTAAAGGCAAGCCCTGCGCAGTTGACTATGCCTTGTTCTAGTTATATACTTCATCAGTGAGACCTGGAATGATGGCCACATAGCTTCAATATACTATTTAGTACTCGCCGTACAGCAATTTAGGTCTCAGTGTATCTCGCAAGCTGCCAGCTCACCATCAGTGGGCCAGTAGTTGTCAGAAGTCTGAGTGATACATGTAAGTATGAGGCTTTTCATTGGTACCTTTACCATCTAACCAAAAATCATCAGAGCCCAGTATACTATGAGCCGAAGCAATATGGTAAGATTACTCAAGAGTGGTCAAACTGGTGGTTTCTCAACTTCAAGATTGCTGTAACCATATTTAATCCAGGTAACTGACTGCTACTCAGCCTCACTGATGAATGTTTTCTATAAAATATTGACACTAGATCTTGACGTGAAGCCAATTCCCATCATTTTACAGTCCTCAATGACCACTATGTCCTTGGATGAGCTTGAAACACTTGTGGAGCCCTTCCTCTCTGCCGAAATTGTCATTGTTCAACCAATTGCCACACTTTCAGTGAGTAAAATCCTGGAACTTCAATGTGGTCCTCTATAATCTCATCATGTGAATGATCTATACACCTCTAGTCTTTGTTTCTTGTCTATGGTAAGCACCTGTTTCATTGATGCTGTTGCTAGCTGCTGACTGCCCACATGATAGGCATGTATATCATGGTCTTTGGACTCTGGATGAACATTCTGTACCATCACAAAGCAGTATCATTTGGATTATATGTGATGTGCACCCTATGCCTCTTTGTCCTTGCAACTGTAACTGTTGCAATGACAGGATTTGGGGAGACATACCAAGCTCTTCGAAACTTTCATGCATTAAAAACAGGAGACTTTGGACCTCTTGAGATCTCCTTGCTGCATGATGATCAAGTGACTGCTTGGATGTAAGTTCACATATTCATCTCATCTATCTTGATCTCTGTGTATATACCCCTGCATCTCTTCATCTGATACTTACAGCTTTCACATAACAGGATTGTGGCTGGCATTGGATCCACATTGATGAAGTACATCTGTCCCTGTTTGAGCATATCTATCCTTAGCTGAAATGATCCCTGAAAGTGTCATTGCAGATACCATGCTTGTAAGTCAATAGTACATTTGTTTGAAATGGCTCACATCTATAACATCTTCTTGACATAGATACACCGGTGTTATGTTGTCTGGGGATCAAACAGAATCCTGTTATATGCCTTATTAAGTGTGGCCATTGTTCTCAATGGTATCAATTTCCAACCATGAACCTTGTACATGGAACACTTTACTAATGCCACCTTTCTTTCTCCAACACTCTAGGTACTGAGCTTTCAATAGACATCATGGCCTCTGTAGGGGTGGCCAATCCTTCCATGATATCTCTTTACCATACATCCACAAAAATTGGTCTAGGATGCCAAATTGCAATTGTGATATACAATGCCATGTTGTCTCTCTTGACTGGTGAGTTCATTATATACCTTATTTTTCATTGCTAAGGGGTCTTGATTTTGGCACCAATTTTGGGATCATTAGCCTGGAAAATCTGGTGGATAGGCTGTGAAGCACGATGTAAGGACGTACACGATGTCCACACTAGCGAGTGTGGCGGAGAGTGAGGACGAAGAGAAGGCAACGAGGGCCAAGGAATGTAGTGTTTGTCATGAAGTGCCGCTTTTCCCCCTATCTTTTCCTTTCTCAGCGCCTATTCCCCTTTCAGCGCTTACTTGTTTCTTTGACGCCTACCAGACGCCCGTTTCCCCTTCCCACATATCTCCTTCTCACACTATTGTCTTTTACACCTTCTTCACGACCCATTCATTCTATTGTTCTTATTGTCTTCTCTCATCTCCTAGTTACTCATTCCGGACTCGTTATTGTTTTATACTTGACTACTATTGTTTCCTTATTGTTTTCTTATTGTCTTTCCTATTCGTTCACGACTCATATCTCAGACCTCTGACTGGGTATATAAGCTAGGTAGTTTACACCTGGTCCCTCATCTTGACCTCTTGTCGTTGGGACCAGGTGAGTAGTTATTTCTGTCTTTCTCTATCTGCAATGTATCTGACTTGTCGTTGGGACCAGTTATCTTCCTGCTCTTGCCCTCTGCTCGTTTACCTCTGTCGTCTCTGTCGTCGTCTCTGCTAGTCGACTTCCGCCGCCGCTGTTTCTAAAGTCCTAGTGTCTAGCGCTTTAGGACATTAGGTCAAGATCCTTATTGCACTGACAGCCTAACCAGTGGTAGGGTTGTCCTTGCAAGATCATCACGGCTTCCAAACCGTGCTCGAATCTCGTTCACGCAGTTGATCCCGCAGACCAACATCACTGGCACCGCCACCCTGAAAACCGCAACTGGAGACTTTGTGAACTCCATACCTGC